GCCAAGGGTCGTGTTTACAAGGAGAGACGGTTGAGATTAATCAGAAAAGAGGTTGTTATGGCATCAGAGATACAAGTGGGCAAACAGTGCTAGGGGACATTGGAGTTCCAGCCCATCCAGAGAGGAAAAACCTCATTAACATCCCATTAACTCATCTTGCTGAGACAGCAGAAATCTGCCTTAGGAAAAAAAGACAATGCCCTAGAGTGAAGTCTATTCTAGATATTCTCTGGGAAAAAACAACAACCACCTAAAACCAAGTGTGGATAAGAGCACAGGGGAACCAGAATTTGGACACTGGGTCCTGCTGTATTGGAAGGGCCTGGAGGAAACCTTGGGCTTTTCACAAATCTGTTCTTAAAAAAGTGTAAACCCAGGTCAACACAATATCAAGGTAAGCAAGAAACTGATGTATCCACTGGAGAAAAAGTCAACAATCTTCAGAAGACCATAAAAGAATCTAGAGTCCGCACAATGATGTGTTTACAATATCCAGTATTCAGTAAAAAAATCATAAACACAAAAAAGAAAAATGTATCCCATAGCCAAGAAAAGAAAAGCACTTAAAAACTAACCTTAAGGTCACTTTACATTGTTATTATTGTCACTTTAGCCAGTTGTTCTTTAAGGAATCACTGTGGTAGGTTGCATAATAGCCTTCCAAAAATGTTCTATTCCTAATTGTCAGAACCTGTGAATATGTAACATTGCATAGGAAATGGGACTTTGCAGATGGTATTAAATCATGGATTTTGAGATGAGAAAATTATCCTGGATTATCTGGGTAGGCCCAACGCAACTGCAAGAGTTTCAATAAAATAAAATAAGCCAGGAGAATCAGTCAGACAGAGGAGGTATTTAGATAGAAGCACGGGTGAGAGAGACTGGAAGATGCTATGCCCCCGGCTTTGACAACGGAAGGTGGCTTATGGAAGCTGGAGGGTGCAATGAAATGACTCCTCAGGAGCCTCCAGAAGTGAGGGAGGACGACCACTCCTTGACATGAGTCCAGTGAAACTGACTTCAGACTGTTGACCTCTGATAGAGAATAAGTTGTGGTGTTTTACGCCACTAAATTTGTGGTAATTTGTTATAACATCCAGAGAAAAGGAATACAAACAAGTTGCTGGATTTAATAGACAAAGATGTTAAAACAGCAATGTAAATATATAGAAAGTGGTTAAAAATATGATTTATTTAGTGAATAAGAGAGAATTTCAGAAGAGAAGTAAAATTAAATAGAAATTTTATAATCAAGAAGTAAAATAACTGAAATAAAAACCTCTCCAGGAAGCCTATTGATTCTTCCATACACAATTTCTATCATTTAATAAAAAATTAGTATATATACAAGGAGACAGGATTATGTGACTAATAAATTTCCAATAAATGAGGAAATTTCAGACAATAGAAGCAATCCCAAAAGTAATCCAGATATTGAAGTGGATAGATAAGAACTTTAAAATAACTATGATTCTTCAATTCTAAAAAATATGGGAAAAGATAGACAATAATAGATTAAAAGACAAAGATATTAATTGAAATGGTAGAACTAATGAAGCAAATCCAATGTAAATTCTATAAATGATAAAAATATAATATCTGACATTAGGAATTCAATGGATGAGTCTAATAGCAAATTGCAAAAAAATGGCAGGATTAATAAAAGACAGATCAATAGAAAATATTTAGACAAAAGTGCTGAAAGGAAAATTAAATTAAAAACAAAAAAACAGACCAATGCATATTACAATTTAATTTCTTCCTGTAGCTCAAGAACGGAACAGGTTCTCAACCTTCAGGCATTTTTACATCGCTGGCCTTGTATCATTTGATATCATTTGGGCTCACTGTGTAGTTTCAGGTAGATTAGATTGAATGGCATTGCTGGGTACAGTTTCAGAATAACATTAGAACAGGAAGTGACGTTTAGCCTCAAGTGCTCCACGGCCTTGCAGTTGTTAACATCTTGCACTACTCCTTCTCAAGGCCTTCTGGGAGGGGGACCAAATTGGCCCGTGCTGGTCCAGGGGGACACACGCAGGCACCAAGGTGGGTTTGCAGGCGAAGCATTGCAGCAGTAGGCAAGCCTCATCAAAAACCTCTTTCCCCCAGGGTCCAGCTCCAACCCTGCAGATCACAGGCTTGGCCGTTAATCCCGAAGAGTTAACAAAACGGTTCCCCACCGAAAGGAAATTCTGTCAACTCTTACACTGTCGTGGAAGAAGCACTGGAGAGGCAGCAGCTCCCGGATCGTTTTCATCCCTTACATTTGCCTTCCCAAAGGAGGAAGAGCTGAATATGATCAGTGGGAGCCATGTTCAGAGTGGAAGGGGTAAAGGTAGTTGACGACTCAAAGATCTGCACAGAAGAGTCATAGCTAACAAAAGCAGAAGAGTGTGAGAATTTTCAAGTCACCATCGTGACAGCCCTAGCAGACTGAGACAACAATAAGCCTGACTGATCAACTTAAGAAGGCAAAGGAGGTTGGAGAACATTCTCATAGGAGGGTCAGGCTGGTACATCCTGAAACCCTTGCTTAACCACTAAATGGAGGGTAGTCAGTCACTACACACCTCCTCGGGTGGTTCAGAGCTTCTGAAAAACAAGAGAAGCAAGGAGGGTAGGAGGGGGAGAGGGAGGGAGGGAAGAAGGGAGGGAGGGACCAGGAGAATAAAAATATAGATTAGATATTAAAAAATATTAAGAATTTATTGTTTTGGTTTTGTGTGTTTTGAAAGAGATCAATGTTGAAGCATTTATAGGTGAAACTATTATGTTTTCTGATATTTGATTTTAAATATTTTAAAGGGGGATGGATAACATGGGATGGGAGAGAAACAACCAGAATGGGAGGGTGTTGATTATTGGTGAAATTAAGGCATGGGTAGGAGAGGTCATTTTGCTACTTTCTCTAATTTTTTGACTATTTGAAAATTTCCATGGTATTACGTGAAAAACAAAGTGAAGGGGTTTCTGTGTCTCCAAAGTTCAGAACAGGTTTTGGGGATTCCCTGCACTCCCTGAGCCTGACTTTAGCTTCCTGGCCTCATGCAGAGCAGACCAAGCAGGCAGCTCCCTCTCTGGCAGACAGTCAGAGTTCTGCGTTTTTTTTCCCTTATCCTTTCTCTGCCTACAACTGTATGTGCGGCAAGGTCATTCGGGTCCCGTTCTAGCCTTGGAAGTATCATCAATCTCTTTTTTGGCCTCAGTTCCAAACTTCATCCTCCAGCACAATTAGCCCTGAACAGTCCTGAACTCTTTACTTTGGAAAATAAAACTTACCCTTTGAATCCAATTGAGCTTGGATCTGTGTGATTATATTCTATCAGCAGAAGCCTGGAAGGCAGACAGTCATCTGAACCTGACCCATAACTGCAGGGAACAAGCCAGATAAGAAAATGACAGAACAGCTGAATCGAGGGAAGGTATTTTGAGGATAAAGGAAAATTATACATGCTCCCAAGCGAAGGTAAATTACCCAGGGTAATAGAAATGCTTAAAAAAAAAAGTGAAAAAGTGAGATTGAGTGTCAGAGAAGGTCCTTAAGAAAGCAGAATAAGGAAGAAAGACAAAGTGGAAAAATTAATATCAGAAAGGGCTGACTTATTGTTCTGTAAATTGATAGGAAGAAGGAAAATGATGAAAGGTGCAGAGACAAGTAGAGATGGACATGAAGGAGAATGAAGTGATTTTTCTTGGGTGGGTGAACTCTTTGGAATAAGAAGGAAGAGAGACAGCGAGAGAGACAGAGGAGGGGGTTGTGGGTTGTGCCCTGGGCTGGAATGACAGCAGCAGTGGGGTAAAGGCTTGTCTGACTACACTTGGGTGATGGCCCAGGAGCTGGGCTGGGTATGAGGGAGAGGGGAGAGGAGAGCCACCAGTGTCCAGGTTCTAAATGGACCGGTGAATGCTACTCCATGCTGAGCAGCCACAGGGTCAGACACATCTGGCCGACCAGTGAAATAGCTCATTCCATGTGCTATGGGAAAGCCCAGGAGAAGAGAAGATGCCTCGAAGATGAAGGGTGGAGAGAACGCCATCATCCAGAAAAGCGCATGTGTGGAAGGAACACTGGCTTTCCTTTCTTCCCTGGCATGCCTGGCAGAGCCTCCTGAGGAACAGCCTTCAGTAGGTCGACATCAATGGGATGTCCTAGAAGAACCTGGAGCTCACCAAGAGTCCCTCTGGTCATCTCTCTTCTGCTCGGAAGTCTACTCCAGCCCTATTCTATAACTGATTCTCAGAATTATTCTTGTTCTCTAAACCTGGAGAACATAAGCTTCATGAAAATATAATTGTGGCAAAGCTGCATTTTCACAGAAAAATATAACCAGCCTAGTCAATGATTTTAAAATTAGTTTATTAATTATATTAACACATTTGCTAGGTTTTTAAATATTCAGACTAGGCATTTTCTCAGATATTTACACTTAGTGGTAATTAAGCACATACACAACTCAAAAATAGCTTAATAGAAGTCACATTTTTATGATAGTCACAAAAGGAAAGGGTATATTAAAAGAATTAGTGTTTACTGGAATATTTTCCCACAGAGAGAAATAAAAAATATGTTAGATTTTATTTACTACCCAATATATACATGATATTTAACAGTACTTCTGTTCCCCAAAGTCTCTCCTCCTTCCTCAGGATATGTTGATAATAACTAATACAACTTGATAATTTTTATAAATTCAATAACAACTTGCTTTAATCTACAAAACTGATTAAAGCCTACTATAAAATACAGTTTAATCATCTCAAAGCAAAGTTTGAAAAAAAAGTTTAAAAACAAAAATGTAAAAAAATGAATATTGAAAAAGATACAAATAATGCATTGAATAGTCTAGGGGTTCGATCCAAATGGGCCCCAGTATGAAACCATGAATGGAAAACTGGCTTTCTCCTATCTTGGTGCTAACTTACTAAGAGACCTGGAGAAACTGTTTTCTGACATGGCCCTGAGTTCCAATTTTACCTTTTAACCTTCACTGATATGCATGCATCCCATTCTTTTATGTACCCAAGGAAGGATCTCTGTAAATGGGTTGCAAAGAAGTGCTGGCAGTTCTGCCCCGGTTCTGACACAGAATTCCCTGAATACACAATATTTACTGAGTTCCATTGAAGGAGATACACTGCACGTCTTAGAAATCACAGGGAAGTATCGGCAGGCTTTTCTCTTGGGTTGAGTAAATGAAGACTGTCAAGGGTTGTTTGAGTAGCTGGTTTTCTTTGCTTGCTCCAGGTCCCCACTAGCTTTGCATCTCACCATTGAGCAGATGGCCTGCTGAAAGTTGTCGCTGACCACCACGTACAGAAACAGGTTACCAAAGGTGTTCAGGGCGGCTAACGGTCTAGAAACGATGTAAGCTTCGTGGATCTGATTCTCAATGGAGCAGCTGATGGAAAGCAGGCGCGACTCAATCCGAAGGACCCTCAAGATATGGAAGGGTAAGAAACAGATATAAAACACAATAAGCAGCAGAATGGTTAGCCTCCGAGCTTTCTGCTTTAGGCAGCCGTGAGCCTGAGGTCCTTGATTTAGGGTGTAGATAATCATAGTATAGCAAAGCGTCACTGTCACCAGGGGAAGGCAGAAAGTAGTTGCAGTCAAAATCAAATTGTACCATTTGATAGTAGTGAGGTCATCTGAACTGGTGAGGTCAAGGCAGGCAGAGGTATTGGTCCTGGTGGTTGATGTGATCAGGAAAGTCATGGGGATGACAGCCACCAGGGAAGTGATCCACACCACAGCACAGGCCACCACGGCCCATCGAGTTTTGTGAATGCAAAAGCAGCTCATTGGGTGATTGATCACGAAGTAACGGAAGATGCTGAAGCAGGTGAGGAAGAGGATGCTGCTGTACAAGTTGAAGTGGAAACCGAAGCGGATGAACTTGCACATGAAATCCCCGAAGATCCAGTTTTCGCCACTGGCGTAGTAGTGAATGAGGAAAGGGAGGCTGGTTAGATACAGCAGGTCTGTGCAGGCTAGGTTCAGCATGATGACGGTGCTGCTTTTCCAGGGCCGCATTTTGCAAATGTAAGTGGAAATTGCCACTGCATTCCCTGGAAAGCCCACCAGGAAGATGATGCTGTAAATAACAGGGAGGTAGTGCCTCTTGAGTGGGATTTTTTCATCAGTGCAATTTCCAAAAGCAGCTGCATAATCGGGGAAATCAGAAGCATTTGCAAAATTGTCTAGTGGCTCATTCATGGTTGTCTCCTTTCATCTTGCAAGAAAACAAGAGCCTGCAGTTTGGCAATATGAATAGACCGAGAAGTAACTCGCTGATAAAAGAAAATAGAAAACATTAACTATAGGGTAAGGAAAACATTGATCCACTTTTAAATGAAAATTGCTCTAACGTTTTAAATTTGCCACTGGTTTTTCTCTTTCATCGCCAAAGAGATCTTGTGGAGAAGAGATTGAATTTCTAAGAAAATGGCTGTGAGGCAAGTTGCTAAAGACATCTAATAATAATATAGAAGTTAAATTATCATGAGAATTAAAATGAATTGTTGGGGGCGGGGGAACACATGGAGCCATGGAAAACAATTTGGCAAGGTTGCTGATGAGCAAGCCATAGGATATTGCGCTAGAGATTTAACAAGACCCACCATGAATCAAGTGCCAGACACTTTACCTCTTGACTTGACTAAAGGCTGAGAAGTATTTCTTATTACAGCTCTTTCACCAAAGAAACAAAGACGGGGTGAGGGGAAGAAACAGAGACTGAGGGAGGTCGTGCAGCGACCCCTGTTAACACCTCTGGTGGCCTGGCCTGGATCCCAGCCCCGGCTTGTCTGGCTTGGGAACCCTGCTCTTTCTGCCTTCCCTCACTGTGCCGCCTCTTACCCTGAACGACCCTGAAAGAACTGATGGAACAGGAAGTGCAAAGGCATGAAAAGACTGAATACTGGGAATTTTTTAAATGAAGATTCATGCATCGCACCATTGTATGTATGGTAGATTTCATTTCAAATTTCAGCTCTTCCAAACCGCGTTCATAGCTAACTTAAGTTGTTTACGTGTGTGTGGGAGTGGTAGTGGGGGGTGGGGGGCAGCTGTATCAGGGCCTGCGGGGCTTGGGCTCTGTCACCAGGCGGCCTGACCTTGATTCTCAGTTTGGCCAGTGAGTAGTTGTGTGTCCCTAAACTAGTTGTTTAGACCCTCCAGGGCTGGGAGGAGTGGGATTTGAACTTCCTTCTTCTGGGTTATCAGTGTTTCCTAAAATGCTGAGAGTGAATTTCTGTAGTGAGAAAAGCATGAAGATTATATAAAGGAAGAATTACTTACAATTAGCTTATTATTTGAACATAAGTAGCTGTTAGTAAAAATGCATCCACTTACACATTTATGGAGTGTCCACTGTGTATTAATTAGGCACTCTGCCAGGTCCTAGAGATACAAAATGAATAACACACAGATGTACAATCCACTATCACAGTCTGCAGGGGGAGATGGACACCGAAATCATTTCAACAAAATATAACCCTACCTCATGGAGCTGTCAATATACAAAAATACTTGAAACACTACCAGGCACATAAGTCTCAATAAATATTAGGTAGTTGTTAATCACTAAGCCCTTCAATAGATGAATGGTACAAGGCTACTAAGATTACAAAGGAGGGAGGGAACAGCTAACCTGGAGAATAACAGAGGGTGTTAAAGGAAGGTTACCTAGGAGGGGACATGTAACTGACATCAGCAAGAGGATGGGAAAGTCATTCTAGGCAAGGAAATAGCACCTGCAAAGGCACCGAAATATGACAGAGTTGAGAAGGTACAGGGCAGCTCTAAGTAGCTCAGCGTGGCTACTATATGGGGGGAGTGGGGGCATTGGTACATGAAGCTGGAAAGGAAAAAAAGCTAATAATAAAAACAATAGTGTCTCCTATGTTAAAAGCACTCCTCTAAGTGTCTTACATATGTAAATTCATTTAATCCTCTAAGCAACCTGGGGAAGAAGTGCCCTGATCATCCTCATTTCACAGAGGAGGTAACTTCAACACAGAACAGGCAATGACTTGCTCAAGGTCACACTGCTAGTTAGTAGTGAACCAAAATAGAGAACAGGCAGTCTGTTTGCAGAGCTGGGCTGCCTTTCACAATGAGTAGGCAAGAGGGAAATAAGTACTCAGTAAATCAGACTTCTCAATTGTGTGACCCAGGGCTAAAACGTCAGTAATAATGGTACCTAATTTGAGTTGAGAGAAAACTAAATGAGTTCATCTACATAAACTGTTTGAAGGGTGCAACCAGGGCCTGCCATTTCTACTATTACCTGGTACTAACTCTGCACCATCAAGCTTTTCCTCAGCGTAGCTTAGAAGTATGTTTCAGACTGGCCAACTTAACAAGTCCAAAATCAGTAGAATCCTTCCCTGTTATTTGGTTTGACTATACTCTTCCAAATCCCACTTTGGGAGGAGATCAGAAAGCATTTAAATGTTCATTACTTTTAGTCCAGCCAATGTGGCTCAACAGTTGAGCGTCAACCCATGCACCAAGAGGTCGCTGGTTCAATTCTGGGTCAGGACACATGCCCAGGTTGAGGGTCCAATCCCCAGTGGGGGGCATGCAGGAGGCTGCCAATCGATGTTCTCCCTCATCGATGTTTCTATCTCTCTTTCCCTCTCCCTTCCTCTCTCTCTAAAATCAATAAATGGAAAAAAATGTAAATGTTTATTACTTTTATTCTGAAATAATTGGAAAAAAACAGCCTAGCCCAGGGGTGTGTCACTTGCCACTGGGCAGCTGTTAGGACCCTCAGAGGAGAAGCCAGTATTCCCTGGAATCGTGCATTACTTACCAAAGGAGAATGTTTCTGTTTGTCAAGTTAATTGACTTTCACTAGCAACCCTATTCATAGAAATAGTACCTACGCAGCAATGAAGATGAGAGGAGTCAGGCTCTGCTGACCAGCAAGGGTGCTGTGAAGCCAGGAAACCACTGTGAATAGCTTTTCCCTTGGCCAACACCAAGGGAAATGGACTCATGCATGGATAGGAGGCAGTCACTGAAATCCAATGAAAATGGTCATGGTCAAGGAGTCCCTGATGCAGCCCTTCCTGAAGTCGGCTCTTAGCAAATCAAGATTCAAGTCCACAGCACTTATCTGTCAACTCCTGCAAAAATACGTAGTCACCTCATACCCTGGGAGCCCAACACACAGAAGGTGCTCAATAAATATTTGCTGAATACATAAAAGAACAATGAGAAACATCAACAAAATTTATCTTCTGCTGAAGGGTTAGTGAAGCAGCAACTATTATTAAAAAAAAAAAAAAAAAGTTTGGTTCTTTAATGACTTTTAAAGTAAGGAGCAAAATTAATTTCTGCCATTGCCAAATAAACCTCTGCTGTGTTATGGGGACATTTTAAACAATAATCTTATCAGGGAAAGATGGGTTGTAGGGAGAAACAACCACTTTGTTATTTGAAAAACAGTTCAGCTTGCGATTTAATGAAGCTGACCGGCCAATTGTGAGGGAGGAGGGGCTAAGGAATTTAACCCCTTTCCCATAAATCTTACCAAAAGAACGTTTGAGTTTACAAAATATGCGTGAAGTTAAGAACAGCAGACAAAACCGGTTCTGGGCTGCGAGCCAAGTAGAAGGAGGCAGTTTCTTTCCTGGACAGTCCCAGGTCCTGTGCAATCGCTGCCACCCCCAGGGCACCAGACTCCACAAAGGAATCATTTCCATTCACAGGACATTAAAGAATAATGTGGTGCATCCCCTACTCTACTACGGCAGTAGATCTCAGACCACCTGAACTGACGGACCCTTTATAAACTAGAAATAACGATCTATTATGTGTCAACATGACCAGATATAAAATTCTGACCTAAACAAGATGTCACCGAAAGAAAAGCATGCACTGAAGACTTGGGGGAATTTTATAAAGGAAGCACAATGTATAATTTTACCCTCTGTTTTTCCTCTGAAACTGGGAAGAGACTATGACTGTCCGAGGCTCCCTGCAGCATGTGAGGATCACTGTCTAAAGGCCACTTGCCTGTGACCCTCACACCGGTATTCCCGGCTTCCATGGCAGCATTACCTGAGGTATACAGAGCATTCCTGCCTACTTGGTGGGAGCAAGCAAAGTGGGATCGCTGATGAAATGTGATTTTTCAAAGGTATCTGTTAATTTTGTAATGACAATACCCTCTCCACAAGAGCTCCTCCGCCCACCCCCAGCACACACCCTCACTTTCCTGGTGCCCTCCAAGGCGGAGTTCACACCCATTCTCTCCTTCTCCCAAGCTGCCTGCAGACCAAGGGCCTCTACACAGCCCCGTCCCTCTCATCTTCCCTCAGCATTTTTGGAACCGCCACCGCTGGGGTCACATTTGGTTACCAAGAAGAAACCTGGATAGACCTTCCATTCACAAAGGTTCATTTTGGCTTCCTCATCTACACATCTGCAATCTAATTTGATTTCCTGCTAGTGGAACACAGACCAGTTCTTAACCCAGACACATGTGTGGGGAGGGTGAATGTTGTCTTCCCTGAACCCTGATGGAATCCCTTTCCTCAACCCCTCCCCGAATCCCAGCTTTCAAATAAGAATCCGCATCTCAGGCACCCTGAAGTCCCTTAGAGCTTCTGTGTTGAGGGGCTCAAAGCTATGATTTTAGCTATTTGATCTTTGGGAGAACCAAATAAAATCTATGAATGCTCTCCTCAAAAATGCACGTTTAGACACAAACATTTTACATACAATTTGGAGGTTTAAAGACAATCCTAACCTAGTTCTCTTAACCTATAGCAATGAAACAAGGCAAGACAAAAGAAAGGCATTTCGGAGGAAAAGGCTTTGTAGGTTTGCTTTGGGAGAGGTGGGGGTTGTGGGCCAGCGTCTCTGGGCTTTGCTCACCTTAATGCCCAGAACAATACAGTTCGAGCTAAGAACGGATCCTCAGGGCAGAATCAGTCAGTAGGGTCAGAGATGAACTCTCTTGTTGGTCCCCAAAGTCCCCCCAAAATACAGTATGCTTGGTAGTTAAAAAGGCACGCGATGAGATGACAGTCTGGAACTTCTTCAGGTCTCCCTGAGACAAATCTCTCGCCACTCTAAGTCTTTATTTTCCCCAAATGCTCCCCCGCCCCCTGTCAGGATGTGGAGTGCTCTTGCTGCCTTCAAGAGAAGTTGGGGGCCCCTACTTTGTCCGCCCCCTGTCCTGCCCTGGGCTCTGTTGCCCCCAGGCTCTGGGC